GCGCCACCACTGATGCTTCTGATAACAATCTCGGGCAGTTGGCCTTCTTATGGCCTCGCTGGTTGTAGTGAAAACACAGCATGTCTGATGTCTGAATAGTGGTGGTAGGGGCAGTGCAATCCCTGTTAAAGTGCCCCAACTTTCCGCACTTGTAGCATCCCGATCCCCCTAACCTGAAAAATCCCTCATGCGTCTTGCCGCATTTCCCACAGCGAATCCGACCCTGATGGCCCTTCGACCTAGAGTCGAATCCCTTGGGTTTCTTCACCGAAACCTCAGTCGTCTGCCCAGTCTCTGCCTTCCTCTTCCTGACGTGCTCTATATCGATCTCCCCTCTTGTGTCCTGGCTATCATATAATCCAAGGTCGGGTATGCCGAGTAGCTGACGTATTTCCGAATGTCAGCTCTCAGCATATCGTGTTACCGGGTATTCTTCATCTCCTCATCACCCGCGTACTGAGGCACCAACAAGGCCCTTTCCCTGAACTTAGCGGTAATCTCCACCACCGTCTCAGTAGTCTGTCTCATATCTAAGAACTCTCTGGCCAGCTACTGAACCTCCACAGCCGGCACAAACTCCGCCCGAAACCTGGACATAAAATCTGACCAGGTCATAGCCTCAATGGTTGGGGCTCCCAAAGTATCGTTGATTGCCTCCCACCAGTCTTTGGCTCGCTCCCCCAAACAACCAGCAACAAACCTGACCTTCGACCCCTCGGGGCAGAAGCTTGTCACTTGTGCAGACTCAATGTATATGATCCATCGCCTAGCTATAATGGGTGTTTCACCCCGTAGAAGTCTGGTACTCCGCATCCCCTGAAATCCTTAAAGGAAAGCGTACGAGTCCCCGACTGGCCAGGTGCCATGTTGCTCCTTATTGCCCTAATTCGATCCTCCATCAGATCAATGATACCCTCCTTGATCGACCCAAAAATCACCGGGGTCGACTCAAGGATGCTTCTCGTAGTATCGGATGCAATGAACTCGCACAATCCATCATCAATCGGCTTGGAACTCGTACCTGAACCAGACCCAGACCCTGAACCTCCTGCTCCGTGACGTGTCATCACCATTCTGAAACAAACCACATAATCGTCAGAATCATACATAATATCGAGAGACCTCATGATCACTACAAGTTCCCTGGTTTAATCTCAGTTCTCCATGACTTGAGTACGGATCATCTGCTTTCAGTAGTACTGACCCATATTACCTTCCACATCTATCCGTACTTTCCTTAAGGATTTCCTTGACCTCACCAAGTCCCTTTCCCTATTTCTGCTCTCCACACTAATCTCATCCTAGGCTTGCCCTAGGGTAATCTCCGACCCACTCTCCACCATCAGGTGCATAAGAATTCCCTACTATCTCTCCCTAACTAGCTCGCGAATACCATTACATATTACTAAGACCAGATAATTCTTCGAATGAGAGGTCCTACCCTACAACGGTTAGACTCGGACAAGAGCTGCGAAATAAGGCTAGACCTAACCTTCTGAAATTATTTAGTCCTTGTAATATGTAACTTAACGTATTCGTTTACTAGTTAATTAAAGATAACTAGAACTCCTATAAGCACAAAGAAAGTAGCATTTGAGCATTGAGTAACCAAAACCAGGCATATCCTAAACAGGCCATCATATCACTGACTAATCGGTACTATCATGCAGTTCAATAAGCACATACAGTAGGCATATAAGGCATCCTTCCTAGATCCTTACCCCTAATCTAGCATGCAGTTCAATAAGCACATACAGTACACATACAAGGCATCCTTCCTAGATCCTTAACCCTAATCTAGCATGCAGTTCACATATTCACACTTCATATCATAATATAACATGTATGGGTATCTTGGGGAAAACTTTCTTGAGCTCGGCCGATTGCACGCATCACACTCCTTGTTCTTTATAAAAACCCTTAATCTTAATTTTAGAAAATTATTTTCCTTTTAAAAATCTCTCAAACCCTCGATATGAGTCCATACATCCCCGAAGGTGTGTCCGAATCCCTCAAACCAAGGCTCTGATGCCAACTTGTAACATCCCAAAAATTCAAGACCAAAAATTTCATTTTTAATTAAGTAATTATAAAACCAATAGTCTGAAAACATCCATAATGTCATCCCATATCAAAACCAATATGTCAATAATCAAATCAAGTCATAATAAAACAACATCAGAGTATAATTCCCAAAGATCTCATGTGCGGAAATCATGGTGTGATGCGCTGCGATCATGTCGGCTCCTTTCCTTTCGAAGAAGAAATACCTGAAACCAAAACTGAAAACCTTAAGCACGAAGCTTAGTGAGTTCCCCCACCGTACCGCATACCATACAATAAACATACTGTCCAGCATATCCGGGTGTTGGCCTCCCCTTCGGTCTCTTTCAACCGGTAACCGCCTAGCATATCAGGATGCTGGCCTACCCCTTCGGTCTCTTTCAACTGGTAACCGCGTAGCATATCTGGGTGCTGGCCTACCCCTTCGGTCTCTTTCAACCAGTTACGGGGACTATTTCACCCCTACCACTACCACATAACATCCTAGCATATACACATAAATCACATACTACCTAGCATATATGGGTGCAGGCCTACCCCTTCGATCCTTTCGACCGGTTTCGGGGACTATTTCACCCCTACTACTACCACGTGATAACATAGCATACAAGCACATAAATATCAACCGATAGTGATATACCAGACAATTATCACAAGGACAATTCTCTCTACTGTAACAACTACTAGTGGGTCGGCATTGGTTCCTTCGACCCACTCATACCGGGAAGGTAACTCACCTCAACTGTGTGCCAAAATCGTGCTCCTTGGATGGCTCGGGACTCCTTTCCCTAAAGCATGACAAGTCCCCTAATTAGTTATTGGGTCCAAGTATAACTCTCTTATGGCCGAGATCTGATTTTTATGGTTCTAAATGCTTCCAAGAGCTCAAAAGGACAACTCTTATGGACATATTCTTCTAAAACTCAAAGGACCTCAAGTATAGGACCAAAATGTGACATAAAACAACCCAAAACAAAATCTAAGCATGCATTAGCCAAGTTGAAAGCTTTATACCTCCAATGGGACAGAAATGATGCCAAACTTCTGGATCTACAAGCCCTTTCCAAGCTCTTGCTCCTTCTTCAAACTCCTTTTTCTTCAAAACCACCAAAATTACACAAAAAACTCAAAGTAAGCTCCAAAATACAAACAAGAGGGTTAGGGTTCGATTTGGGCACTGAGAGCACAAGGGAGGCTGAGAGGATAAGGGTTTTAGAGGTTATAAGTTTTTTAAATAGGGTGCAAACCCTAAAGTTTAGGGTTTGCATATGGTCACCCTACGCCCAGTGTACGCATGGGGATCCCCCGATTCGCGCCTCATATGCGTACGCCCTGTACGCCCAGCATACGCTCTGCCCCAGAAACTCCTAGATTTTAATAATTACAACTGGAATAAAAACAATACAATACCTGATAAATCTCGGACATTACATATATTCATGACAAAACTAGATCTAGCATGAAAGAACACCGAGATGGGAACTTTATACCTTCTCGAGGTGGACTATGAGGTACAAAATTTGGATCTAAAAAGCTTGGAACTCCTAAATGCTTCTCCAATTATCTCTTCCTTCAAAGATGCACACAAGAACACTCTAAGGCCTCAAAACTCTCACTAGGTGGCTTCGAGATGACTGAATAAGAGGATGGAGGTTGAGCATGGAGAGGCCCTCAAGGAGTTAAAGCCTTTAAATAGGGCTCACAACCCCAAGAATTAGGGTTTTGGTGTTGCGCACCTACGCTCAGTGTAAATCAACCTACGCTCAGCGTAGGTTATTATGGTTGTTTTTGGCGCGCTACAGCTAGCTCATAACTTAGCTTATTTTTAAGCTTTTTTAAGTTGTCATGTTTGGCAAGTCAAAAAAGTACCTTATAAGCTAGCTTTTTAGGAGCTTTTTTAAAAAATTTCAAATATACTCCTTAATTAATTATAGAAACACATTTTTTTAAATACCCTTTTATGTCATTTTATATCTTTCAGCTTGTTTTACCAAACACCATTTTTTATCAGCTAGTTTTTCAACTATCAGCTAGCTTTTTATTTAACAGCTAGCTTCTCAGCTAGTACGCCAAACATAACCTAATCCCCCGCATGAAATCTTCCACCTATGCTTAGTGTTGGGGACTATCCTACGCTCAACATAGGACAAAAAAATGCAACAAAAGAAAATTTTAACCTTAGAGAATCATACCAGCGAATACAGATGTTACATCTATCCCTCTAGATCTCCATGCATGGTATCTGCTTTGTTGCACTTAGATCCTTTATCTCGAACTCACTTTTCAAGAAAGCTTTCAAGCCATTAATTTTTATCAATATTTTTAGTTGGAAGTAGCATGTCATCCACGTATAGAAACAAAGTAAGTTCATCAATAGTAACACATGACTTTCCTTGGAATCAAGGATCCTTTCGGCTAAGATATATAAATCTCCACTTATAAACTACCATGTAAGAATGCAATTTTTACATCAACCTACTCAAGCTCCAAATTAAATGCACTTACCATGGCCAATAGAACCCAAAACATTTTTATTTCACAATAGGATAGAAAACTTTATGATGGTAAATCTCTTTTCACCTCTGCCACCATCCTTGCATTGACCCATGCTAATTCAACTCCAAAAATCCATTTTTTTCATTTTTAAAGACCTATTTGCATCCCACTTGTTTTGATCCCTTTGGTATTGGTAATAGATCTCATGTTTCATTCTTCTTTAGTGATTTCATTTCCTCATACATTGTCACTAACCATTATGATGCTAAAAAACCTGTGAAAAACCCTACGCGTCCGGCGATTTCGGAAGCTTCCCGGCGGGATCAAATGCCGGTCGACTGATCGTGAAATCTTTCTAGTTTGGCTCATTATTTTTTGTTTCGTTTTCCTGGTAGGGTTTCTCTGTAGTCTTTTTCGATTCTTCATTCTGGATTGTTCAAATGAGTCGTAAGGAAACGTCGGATTGGAAAATTGCCAATAAAAATAAGGGTGGGTGGAATGTCGATAAGGTTTCTACACCTTTCTTTCTCACCTATTTTCCTCCTGACTTGGATAATAAGCAACTTTGGTCCATTTGTGAAAAGTATGGGAGGGTTGTGGATGTTTATATTGCCTGAAAGTTGTCCTAGTTTAGGAAACGGTTTGCATTTGTTAGATTTCTTAAAGTGCAAGACGAGAAACAGCTTGAATTGAAGCTTCATGATCTGTGGATTGACAGTCATCATGTTTTTGTTTCTTTGGCCAAGTTTGGAAAGGAGAACACTCGTGTGCATGGGGAGTCATAGGTACATGTGCATACTGTTGGTGGGGGTAAGGTTAAGTCTATTGATATGGAGAATGATAATTCATTTGGCATTGAGCAGGATTCTGTTAGTAACAAGGGGCAGGTTTTGTGGACCGAAAAGGCCGATTTTTTCAAATAGATTCATTAAAATTTGATGCCAACAGGAGGGTGTTCAATTCGGTGCCAGTAGATGTTCCTGTGGCTGGTCCAGTAGATGTTGATGTTGACGGTTCTGGAATAGTTCCGACTGTTTCGATTGCTACAGTGGCAGGTCCTACGGTGGAGGTTATTCAAGGGTTGTGTGATGATAATGTATCGACTGAGTCTCTTTCACAGCCACCTAGTTTCAGGCGTGATGCTAAGTTGGATCCTGGGACTAGTAAAATAAAGTCTAATTCTGCTAGTTCTCATGGTTCTTCGAGATTGTTGAAAAAACGAGTCTCGGCTAATATTGAAGATATTTCGGATATCATGAAACAGTATGTTGAAATGGGAAGGTTGTTTGGTTATGATATGGAGGGTAACAAAGATAAGGTGAAACAAATTTTGGCTAGTATTGGTGTGATTCAGGTTGTTTAATGAATTGCATGTCTTTGAATATATGTAGCACCCGTTCTTGTCATAAAGGTAATTGGGTGAAGTCTTTGTGTGTTCAAAATGGTGTGTCATTTTTGGGGTTACAAGAAACTAGAATGACTCAGTTGGATCTCTTCAAAGTTAGAAGTATGTGAGGGAATTGTAATTTTGATTTGCTTTTAGTAGTGCTCGTGGGAGATCGGGGGTATTTTATCGATTTGGGATCCTAAGGTGTAAAAAAATAGCATTGTTTGTACCAGCAATGTTGTTATTGTTCGAGGTATCTGGGTGCCATTTAATATGGAATGTTGTATGGTGAATGTTTTTGCTCCTCAAGATGTTATAGAGAAATGATTGTTATGGAATTATATTTCTTCTTTTATTAGCATATATGGGGGTAATTATGTTATTTTTGGTGATTTTAATGTGGTTAGAAGTGCTGAGGAGAGGTTTGGATCCATTTTCTGTTCATCTTCTGCTGGTGATTTTAATGATTTTATAGATGATGTGGGGTTGTGGATGTGCCTATGATTGGGAAGAAATTTACTAGGGTTGACTTTTCTAATGTCAAGCTTAGTAAATTAGATCCATTTTTGGTGTCTAAGGGTATTTATGATCGGTTTCAGGGTTTATAGGTGGCAGTGTTAGATCGGTTGTGATCTGATCATTGTCCTATTTTGCTACATGAAGTTAAGGTTGCTTATGGTCCTCCTCCTTTTAGATTCTTTAATTCGTGGATGTTGTTGGATGGTTTTGATGAGATGATTCGAGCAAGTGCTTCAGAGTTTGTGGTGAATCAAAGTTGGAGTAAATTTGTTGTGTTCAAAAATAAGCTTAAGTTTATTAAGAATTGGATTCGGGAGTAGCATGTCCAGGCTAAGGAGATCTGTGAGTATCAGAAGGCTGATTTGAAGTCTCGGTTGCATGATATTGATAATTGTATTGATAGTGGCGATATCTCTGTTGATTTAAGTAATGAAAGAAAACAGGTTCTTGGGTCTTTGGCTTCTATTGAAAAACAAGACGTTTCGGATGTGGTCCAGAAAGCTAAGGTGAAATGGTCTATTGAAGGTGATGAGAATACTGGCTTTTTTCATGGTATGTTGAAAAAAAGAAGACGTCAGATGTTAGTTCGTGGGGTCTCGGTTAATGGGGAGTGGGTTATGGATCCGGTGGCAGTAAAAAAAGATTTTTTTTTATTTTTACTCTTCTAAGTTTCAAGCGTTTAAAGGTATTCGGATGGCGGAGAGAAGTAATCGATTTTCTACTATTACATCGGAGAATGCTTTGGGATTAGAGAGGCCTTTTACTATAGAAGAGAATAAGGAGGCGATTTGGGATTGTGGTGGGGATATAGCCTCTGGTCCGGATGGCTTTTCCTTTTAGTTTCTTAAACACTATTGGGATATCTTGGGTGATGATGTGATTGCGTTTGTGCAGAAATTTTTTTATAAACCTATTATTTCGGTGGGTTGTAATTCCTCGTTCATTACTCTTATCCCCAATGTTGAGAATCCGTTACTTGTGAAGGATTTCCGGCCTATTAGCCTTATTGGGATGCAATTCAAGATTATTGCTAAACTTTTAGCAAAATGTTTGGCGGTGGTGCTTCCTGATGTTATTAGTGTGGAGCAGTCGGCTTTTCTTAAAGGTCGACAAATTTTAGATGGGCCCCTTATGGTTAGTGAGATGGTTTCTTGGGGAAAAATAAAAATAAGAAATTTCTTATTTTTAAAGTTGACTTTGAGAAAGCTTATGATTTTGTTAGTTGGGACTATTTGGATCAAAATATGGGGTTCATGAGCTTTAGTGATAGGTGGCGGTCTTGGATTTATGGTTTAGTGAAAAATGCTAGATCTTCTATTCTTGTTAATGGTAGCCCAACTAAAGAGTTTCAACTGTTTAGAGGTTTACGTCAAGGTGATCCAATCTCCCCTTTTTTGTTTCTTATTGCTATGGAGGGTCTTCATATAGCCATGGAGGATGCGGTTGCTTCTGGAAATTTTCGTAGGGTTAAGGTTGAAGAGGCTAATTTAGAGATTTCTCATCTTTTATATGTCGATGATGCTTTGTTTTTGGGTAAATGGGAGGAGGGTAATGTTCGAAATCTTATCACTATTCTTCGTTGTTTTTATATGGTTTTGGGTTTAAAGATTAATCTCTTTAAATCTAGTTTGTTGGGTGTTTGTGTTAATCAGTCAGAAGTTACTTCTCTTGCTTCTATTACGGGATGTGTTGCAGCTAATTTTCCTTTTTCTTACCTTGGAATTCCAGTGGGTGGGTCTATGAGTTGTGTCAGTAGCTGGGATGTGATTGTGGATAGGTTTCGCAAGAGACTTTCTAATTGGAAAGTTAAAATTCTTTCCATAGGTGGTCGTTTAACTCTGATTAAATCTGTTTTGGGCAGCCTTGAGATTTATTTCTTTTCTTTGTTTCGTATGCTGGTTACAGTTTGTCATTTATTGGAGACTTTTAGGGCTCGTTGTTTAGGGGAATGGAGGAAGACCAAAGACGTATTCATTGGGTCAAATGGGATATTATCCTTAATTGGCGGTTTCTTCATGAGCATTCGTCTTTATGGGTGAGGCTCATTAAAGGGTTACATGGTGATTCTGGGGCTTTGGCTCATAATTCTCGGCCTTCTGGACGTATGGGAGTTTGGCAGAGAATTGTGGACTCTATCAAGAAGATGGAAAGTCAGAATGTCTTAGAAACCGACTCGATTTCGATTATTGTAGGTGATGGGTCTGTGGCTCGGTTTTAGGAGGATGTGTGGTGTGGAGGTGTGTTGTTTAAAACGCAATTTCATAGGCTGATTTCGTTATCCTTACTGAAAGATGGGTTGGTCTCGGATTTCTGGAATTCTGGTGGGTGGAACTTCTCTTGGAGGCGTGGCATTATAGGAGGAGTTGAAGCAAAGAAATTAGAGAGTTTTATGCAGATTTTGACTCCTATTCAGTTGACTTCCATTCCCGACAGGTGGTCCTGGAGTCTTGATCAAAGTGGGGTGTTTTCTGTTAGTTCCACTAGAAGGAATATTGATTCTCTTTCTCTCCCGGTCAGTGGAGTGGGGACTAGATGGAATCAGAATGTTCCAATTAAAGTTAACATTTTTTTGTGGAGATTTCGGTTAAATAGAATCCCTATTCGTTCGGTTTTAGTGGATAGAAGTGTAGAGTTGGAGTCTATTCTATGCCCAGTTTGGCAGTTTGTCATTCTATTGAAGAAAATGTTTCACATCTTTTTTTCCAGTGTGAGGTGGCTCGTCATATTTGGAGGAGAATAGGCCTTTGGCTTGATGTTTCATTTCCTATTTATCTTGGTGTTGCAGAGATGCTTGATTGGGTTGATTCTTCGTTGATTCTTGGTAGAAATCAGCCTATCTTGGAGTCGGTTTGCATGGTGAGTTTATGGGTTATTTGGTCGTATATGAATGGTGTCATCTTTAGCCCTAATAAGTTTGAAAAGCATCTTTTGTATGATACTATTGTTGATTTGTCTTTTCGTTGATTTTCTTTTCGGAACTCTAAGGCTTGTGTTAGTTGGATTGATTGGATGCGCAATCCGCTAACGCCTTAATTTTGTACTTTTTATCTAGCTCCTAGCTAGCTTTTTTCTTATTTTGAGTTTTGTTGTTGTTCAAAAAAACTAACCATTATGATGCTTCTTTACTCATAATAGCCTTTTTTATACAATTTTTGCTCGTCTAAACCAATTTTTATCCAACATCCACTACATATGTAATTAAAACAATTTCATAAGTATTAACACATATTGCATACATAGAAGGATTCTGAGAGTTCCTCTTTTTCTTCCTTTTTGCTTAGATCCGTACTTATTTTCTTCATCCTCAACATCATCATCCTTATGCTCTTATTCCCTCAATTCTTTTCGAGACTCATCTTGACTAGGGTGTTAATCACTAAGGTGTTGTTTATCATTTATCATCATTATGTCTGGAGTATTTGTTTATCATTTATCATCATCATGTATTGAGCTTATATGGTTTGACTACAAAATATAATGTATTAGTGGTTAATCTGCAAAACTGTCCAAAATATAATGATTTCTTTTTGTAATTTGCACTAATAAAAATATTTTTTCATTGTTTTAAAAAACTTCAATTGTATTATGACAAAAATATGTGTCATTAAATATCTATCTATCTCTTATAAATAAGGTCATTCAAATGAATATGGTTCAAGATAGGTCATCTATCTTGAATCATATTCATTTAAAACTCACAAACTCTTCAACTTATTTCACTTAAATGATAATACAACTCAAGAGTTTTTAACCTATGATACTTAATTGGTACTTATGACACATGATTGGTTATTAGATATATATAGTTCATATAGGAAGATGATCATACTGATATGTTTTAGAGAATGATATGAACAGAAATATGATTTAAGAACACATAAATATCTATTTGTGGTTCATATATTTATTTTGAACGAGAAAGAGGTAGGTGCGACTTTTAAAGATGTCAATTTGTATAAGTTAAGTCATTTGTTTTATAGTTTTTGTTATTCATGTCGGTATTCTTAAAAGCTACTATATATTCTTTTTTATATATGAAAAGGATATGATGAAGATATTGATTGTAACTAAATAGGAATTTGATCATTTCTTTTACTATGCATATGTATTTTTTTAGTTCCTATACGTATTGTTCTTGAGAAAAAATGTAGAAGTTATATTTGTTTTTTTTTTGTTTCATAGATAATCCATGTATCTTCAATCACATTAATTTGAGTTTTAATATATATTAATTTTTTTTATTTAAATTATGTCCATGTCAGTATTCTTAAAAGCTATTATATATTCTTTTTGTTATATGAAAATGACGTGATGAAGATGTTGAATGTAAGTAAATAAGAGTTTGATCATTTCTTTTATTGTGTATATGTATTTTTTTAGTTCCTATATGTATTGTTTCTCTAGAAAAAATATAGAAGTTATATTTGTTTTTTTGTTTCATATATAATCCATTTATC